CACTTTATGCTGTTCGTCCAGACGAAATGCCTAATTCATCCATGAACGATGTTCTCTGTTTTCACGTTTACACGGTTCATCCAGAAGAAATGTCCTGTTCGTCCCTGGACGATGTTCCCTGACTTCACAATTTTAATTATCGTCCAGACGATTTTACCCTGTTCGTCCCCGGACGAAGTGCTCTGGATTCATGCTTCGTACTGTTCGCCCAGACGAACATGAACATTCATCCCAGGACGATGTTTTCTGTTCCTTAAACATATGGACCGTTTGCAGTTATGTTTCAACGAGGCTTTAAGATAACCGTTTGTACCGGACGAACATAGTTCATACGGGACAATGATCGGGTACGAAGTCATTTCGTCCGAATGCACATAGAGTTCGTACTTAATAGTATTACACTGTTCGTACGTACGAAATTACGATCGTACAGGACGATCAAGCACGCAAAGATTTGAAAAATTGCAGTTTTTGGACGGTTTTTTGTCTTTCATATAAAATGTCCACTTAAATCTGTCTCTTAATCTTTTTGTCCACTGGTCTTCGTGCTAACTGAAGAGAGAGTGTGAGAGAGTGTTTGAAGGAGATTTTTTACCACTGGAGCGTGAATGATTCACTTGGTACTCAAAGGTAAGGATCTTTATTTTTGAATTATGATTACTTCACTCTTTTATCTGGTCCTTCCAGATTTCTTGTGAGAAGATCTTGTCAAGGAGATCCGGTTCTCTGCTGACACTCGAGGAGTGTGAACAACGAAGGGTACTTTGCCTACACTTGGAGAAGTTTGAAAGGATGAAGTTTCCGAGATAAACTGGAGATAAACTGGAGCTCCTCTAATTGATGTGCTCCTAAGATTGGCATATGACAAATTTATACGACATTTGATTCATGTCGGAAATGTATTCAACTCTTTGACCTGCAATTGTATTAGTTAGAAAATACATGTTAGTCTTATTAGAACCCTAAATTGGAGAAAAGGGTAAACAAGACCAAGAAGATAGGCAAAGAAATATATGTTATTTTATTTTATTATTATTATTATTTAAAGAAAACATTGTTTTACTGTATGTTAAATTTATTTTTTAGGGATCGTAATGTAGACATTACAAAGAAATCATAATGTTTGTGGAATTGTTTCAACATATGAAAGATTTATTAAGATAAACATAAAAGTACGGAAATAGGATTTAAAATCCAAGGTTTTAAGACATAAGATGTTATAAGCGACAATATAGATCCATTATCAACCCTAAAAGGTGCTAGCCTATCATTTAACTCTTGTACCTAGTAATAAATAGTAATAAAAAAAAATCGTTGCTTCAACTTCACTCATAAAACACCTTTTGACCATTAGCATAGCATCCCAATATTTTTATCAACGAAGCTTCACGACAAAACCATCATTCAGATATTCTTTGAGGGTAAACATTTTGTACAAACATTCTAGAAACTTTGATTAAGGGCTGTTTGGTTGGTTATAAAGTGAATGAAGTGTAAAGTAAATACATTGTAAAGTAAATTCTTTGGGGTTATTTAGTTGTTTGTAAAGTGATGCAAGGGAATTGTTTTTTTCTGCTTGGTTTGGTGTATGCAGAGTAAAATAAAATCAGCCCATTGCCCCCAACAGAAGACACACCTTGCGGCTGCGGGTTCCTGCATGATTTGGTCCCACCATCGTGCAGCTCCAGGTTCTTGCACGGAGTGGCCAAATCAATCGGAAGTGGAAAGGCATACCTTGGAGCAAATTACCTGTGTTCGTCTCCTACGTCGATGTTCGACCCAACACTCGGCTTCACATGTACCACCCGACTCCCGCACACGCTAGAGAACCCGCCTTCGCTGCTCCACGCATGAACGCTCCTGTTCTGCCTTCGCCAGTCTCATGCGAGCGAAACCTCCTCCGCATGTTGTATGCATGAACACTCCCATCCTTTCTCCACCCATCTCATGCGAGCGAACCCGCCTCCGCCTACTCCCCACACGAACGGCTCTCGTCCCGTCTCCACTCATCTCACTCGAATGAGACCTAAAGCCGCACATCGTGCAGCTCTTCCCACACGTGAATCTACACTGTCTGGACTCCCGTTCCTCTATCTTCTCTTATTCCTGCACACAACTCCTGCCAGTGCGCCCGCATAATTCCTTTTTCTTTCGGTTTTGAGCGGGTTCGCTTCAAGCGGAAATGCACTACCGTGGCAAGTTCGGAATGCTTTACGAATTTACTTTACCCGGTAACCAACCAAACACGGAAAAATGAAAAAGTAAAGCATTTACTATCCTTTGCATTCACTTTTCCTCTAACCAAACAACCCAAGAGGAGCTATTGTTCTTAAGGCTAATAGTTTTATTAAAATCGTTTTTTATTTTTTATTTTCTTAAGGGTAGTAATTGAACTTCAATAGTTGTACTTATATACTGACTGTAGATTTTTCTTAATGTTGCTTTATATGATAGTACGTAATGATGCCCCCTATTACCTGCTTCAAGTTTTCCTTTGGTTGTTCACCAGGACAGCATTTAACAACAGTATTGTTGTTGTGCATCTTCCTTTCTCTTATTAGAAATATTTCTATGATCACTATTCTGTAAATGCCTTTTGTCATTTTGATTTTCCCATCATAAAATCCCATTATCCCCAAAATTTCTTCTTTTCAATTACATATACATCTTTCTGATCATGGACGTCACTGCTCTTTGTACCGCAGGGTATATGGTTGTGCGAGCACAGGGATCATGCTTCCTCACGGAAAATCGTTGTTACTCTTAATGGCATGACTGTCTAAAATTATGGAGCTTTAGCTTTCATTTGGGGCGTTTTTCTTAGTTTCTTAAAGTAAAGTTTTAGTATAAAAATTTAAATTTTCTTACTAAAAAATTATTTTAAGAAGCAATAAGAAAGCCATCTTAAACGAAGCTTTCATGTGATAAACTATGATGGTTTACATCCTGCTCAAAAGACCTTTATTTCTGTTTTGCCATTATATTTTTGTCTATTTTGTCTTATGATTCGTCATCTTGCATCAAGGATTGTGCTAAATCCTTTGCCAGGTTCTTGAAGCTTGAGATCTGAGCAGTTGCTCTCTGTTTCGGCCTTAATGTGTAGCATTTGTAGTATTACTAGACCCCGTAGAGGGTAGCAAAAGCTCTTAATTAACAAATTAAAATGAGCTGCATAACATGATAAAATATAATCGGATTGGTAGTAAACCTCATATGATTCTTATCATGGTGGTATCACCATCAAACATGGCCGCCAATTGATGCAATCAAAATGCTCTGTCCTTCATAATTTCAACATAATATAAAGGGTTATTAGGATCCATTTTTTATTCTATGTAATATGATGTTATTTATAATAAATAGTTGATTTAATGTTGTTTCTCTCATATTAAAGTTTTTTTTTTAATTATATTACTTGACAAATATGAAATACTGAAGAATAGTTCAATTGGTTGCTGCCAAGGTATAATATCTATAAATAATATGTTCATTGTATTGTTGTGTGAATAATTTTGTTGTCTACACTATAAAATCATCCAAACAAAATGCATATAAACATTAATTCTTATTTTGGAGAAATAGGTGTTATATCTAGATGTTAGGTTATTCAAGAGATAAAGATTGAAAAAAAAAGTGTAATTTAATTTCAAATAATATTCTATTGTTCAAGATAATATTCAATAAAAAATGTTATATTTGAGTAAAAAGATTGTTATGTTCATGAATATTTATATGACATTTGAATATGATATGAAGATTTTTATTATTAGATGAATCATCACTTGATAGTTGTGGTCTTGAGTGCTAATTTAACTACATACAATTGCATGATTGAAATTATCAATTCTCTGACCCAAGATTCAAAAATTTAAATGTGTTTCAAACTCTGGAAAAAATTAAAAATTTCAATATAAGAGTCTTCAACACTTGCCAATTTCAATGTGGTTTTGTAAAGGCATTTTATGCATTGAATTTCATTTACATTAAGCATAACATGGCATTGGAGCTATTCTAACATGTGGAGAAAGCGTAGCTCTATTAAATCAAAATTTTCTTGGGCTCCGACATTGTAATTTCCTAATCTGACACCAAGGAGTTGAAGACACTATGACATTGATAGTTCTTGCATTATGGTGCTGGTTCTTAAATTTACAATTTTTGCTCATTTTCTTGAGATATTCCTACACATCATCAATTAAAATATACATCTTTATTGGAGTTTAATACAAGAAAAACAAACATAAATTTCACTGAACACCTATTCAATAGATTATAACTAGATAAGCTCCCTTCAATCAAAAGATTTTGATTAAGAGAACGATAGACTCAATAGAAGAGTATAGCTAAATCAATAAAATGCATAAACATATGGGATTCCTTTAGTAAAAAGAGTACGATTGAGGGTAGAGATTCTAGAATAATGAAAACTTTGCTTAAGATAGTATGATTAAAAAAGCATGATTAGGTTAAAGAAATGATAATTTAATCAAACGAGCATAACTACACTAGTGATGAATTCTACCAAAGGTACATAACTAAATTTAGGATATAGCTAGTAAAATGAGCATTACTAGGGGAGTGATAGTATAGTCAAAAGATCTTGGTCACATTTAGAAGAGCATGGTTAATCTAGAATATTTCCAAATAAAAAAAAAACATCATCTAGATAGAATAAACAAGATAAAAAAGCATGATCAATCTAAAACAATCCTCAACTAAAAAGGCTTGTCTAAGTGAATGAAGGTACAATCAAAATGGCTTGATTGTACTAGAATAGGCTGTCAAAATAACAAGATTAACATAAGAATATATATATATATATATATTGGGGGAAATTTTGGGGCGTCAGCACATATCATTGATATAAAGAAAAATTACATAATGAAGATCAAATGCAATCACAAAAAAATATGACGCAATTGACAAAACACTATCAGCTCAAGCTGCTAAACAAGAGAAAACTATAGAGCAAAAATAGAAAAATGCATAATACAAAAAAATTAAGGACTCAGTAAGCAATCGTCTTGAAGATCACCCAGGCTACCAAAATCATCCAGTCGGATTGTAGGGCTCCCCTGGTTGCCGAAGAGAAAAAACAGTCTGAGACCATCCAAGGGGAGTAGAAAAAGATTGCCATCATCATTGTCCTTCAAAAACTCATCCAGCCCATGGTTGCCAAAGGAGGCCGTCCAGGGACACCAGCATACCTTCCACAGCAAAAAGGCAGAGATTAAGTGAACATAAACTGTTGACATTGAAAGCATTTCTTCTTGAAAGTCTTAAGATAAACAACCTTTTTAATCTTCGAAGTAATGGTTGTAAGGCATTCAATATTGTTCCCAAAAAGTCTGTCATTGCGGGCTCTCCAGGTATAGTATACAATAGCATAAATTAGAAGGAAACAGAAATTCTTCCTATTGCAATCAGTTTCCAGATCATCCATATCATTAAAAATCTGCCCTAAGTTTGGGCGCATAAGCATGGAATTCATCCTAGGTAGGAAACATTTCAGAATATTGAAGGTGAAATCACACTCAAAAAGTAAATGGTTTTTAGTTTCTCTTCCAGATTTGCAGAAAACACAGTGAGGAGAGTCAGGAATTCCCCTAGCAGTCAAGGCATCAACAGTCTTAAGCCAATTTTTGAAAGCAAACCAAGAGTAAATAGAAAACCGCAGAGAATAATGTTTATGCCAAACAAATTTATACCAGGGAACCACCTCAAACTCTTCATAAAATAGTTTGATGAAATTGCGGAAAGAAGGCTTTGCAGGTTTAGTCCAACAACATTCATCAGACGAATTACAAATAGGGACAGAATTGATCATAGCAGCTAAGTGGGTTGGAAAGTTTGGAGGTAAATTCCAGCAACCATTATTAATATGGCTGCTAACAGCCAAATTAGTAGAAGTGATAAGAAATTCCAGATTAGCTTGCTTTAGTCTATCCGCCACCGACTGTCCAAAGCACCAGGGGTCCCAAAAAAAAGAAAGATGATTGAAAGTAATAATTTTGAAATTAAGAGAGTGCAGTAAACATTTAGCAACATCACAGAGTGCTTTCCAGTAAATAGAGCATTTTGAATTGTCATAATTCCAAAAAGAGCCATATTTTTCTTTCCACCAGCTGATTAAGTAACTATTGGAATTTAAAAACCTCCAAACAACAGTGCCACCAAAAGCATAGTAAAGAGATTCAATAGAGTGAATACCGAGCCCCCCATGGATCTTTGGTTTGCAAGTGTCTTTCCAAGATATCATGTGCAATCCTCTCTTATGAATATCCCCATAGTATAAAAACCTAGAGCAAAGGCTTTTAATAGTTTTAACACAGGTTTTAGGAATAAAGGTCCCACGAACCCAATAAGCCAAAATGTTGTTGATTGTATAATTGTGATATTGCAGCCTACCAACAAACGAAAGGTTTCTAGCCTTCCAGCCATCCAAAGAGCCCGAAATTTTTTCCAAAAGAGGCTGGTAGTCACAGATTTTCAATCTCCTATGAAAAATTAGGATGCCAAGGTATTTTACAGGTGCAGTAGAAATAGGGATATTCAGTGTGCTGTAAATAGCCTCATCATTAGTGACATTCTTAGATAAAAGAATATTTATTTTGTTACTATTCACCTGTAAACTCGATATGCTAGCAAAATTATTTAGGAAGTTGTTTAGATAATGAGCATTATCCAAAGAATCCTTAGCAAATACCAACAAATCATCGGCATAGAGTAGATGAGAGATAGAGATGTTGCCAGCCTTCATACCCTTAAAAGAATTCTGTAAAGTGGCTTCCTCAAAGCAAGAAGAGGCTATCCATGACAATGCAAAATAGGTAGGGGACAGTGGACAGCCTTGTCTAAGGCCAGAAGATGATTTAAAATAGCCATCAAGCGCCCCATTAATGGAGACAGAGAAGTAAACATCAGATATGCATCCCTTGATCCAAGAGACAAAAGCATAAGGAAAGCCTTTGGCTAGCATACGATCAATCAAAAAATTCCTAGAAACTGTGTCAAAAGCCTTGTGTATATCAAACTTAACACAAAAATATTGATTTTTAGAAGAAGAATTGAAATCTTTGAGAAGTTCAGCCACTAACAAAATATTATCAGAGATTACTCTATCCTTATTAAATCCAGATTGGCTAGGATGGATTATAGAAGGCATAACTTCCTTCATCCTATTGGCTAGGATCTTAGCAATAATCTTATAGAAGTTGTTGCAAGGAGAGATGGGCCTGTAGTCAGCAATGTCCTGGGCATGAGGTCTTTTAGGTATAAGAGCTATAGCAGTTGCTTTTGCATGCTTAGGCATAGAGCCAGTAGAGAAAAAGGTCAAAACCGCCTTACAAAGCTGTTTGCCAATAGTATTCCATGTGGACTTGTAAAATTCAAATGTGTATCCATCAGGCCCCGGAGTAGAACATTTAGGGGAAGAGAAGACAACATTCTTGATTTCTTCCACAGTGATAGGAGAGACCAATTGTGGAATAAGGTTGGATGGAAGTTTGAGATGTATGGGAGCAGTCCAGGTAGAAGAGCTGGGAGGAATATTGGTGTTAAAAATCTTTTGGAAATGGTTGACATTTACATTATTGATATCAGCAGAAATAGTGAAATCTCCTTCCGAATTGGTAATACTTTTAATCAAATTGGAATTGTGCCTAGTATTAATCCTGGAATAGAGAAACTTAAGGTCATCCTCCCCATTAGACATCCACTTAGCCTTAGCTCTTTGTAAAATCCAACTTGACCAATCAGAGTTCTTCTCAGCAAGTTGATGATCGATATCTTTTAAGGCCAAATTGAGTTCAGGGTCCAGAGGGGAGGCCTGAATTTGACACAGAAAAGAATGTTGACTACTGGTAAGCTCAGCAATATCTTTTTGAAGAGAATTTGAAGAAACCCAATTCTTGGATTTAATGTTGATCTTGAGAGTTTTGAGCTTTTAAAAAAGACATTAATTGGGCTGCTATGAAATTTTTTGGAGAAAACCTGAATGAGAGAATCCCAAAACTCCGGTTTAGACAACCAGTAGTTTTTGAATAGGAAATGATGCTTTTGATGCTGAGTTTGATCATATTGCAGGAGGATAGGGGAATGATCAGAAATCTGAGGATTGTCCATAATGTAAAATGAGTTCGGGTAAGTATCAAGCCAATTATCATTAACCCGCATCCTGTCGAGTTTAATATGAATAGGATTTTTGGCCCTTTGATTAAACCAAGTGAAATAATGACCTACATATGAGAGATCGTGAACAGCAATATTGAAAATCAAGCTATTAAAGTCAGAAATTTTGCTATTAGTAAGTAAAGAACCACCGGCTTTCTCATGGGGAGACCTACAACAGTTAAAATCCCCTAATATAATCCAAGGAATAGAAATACCAACAACAAGATCAGTAAGATCCTTCCAAAGGATTTGCCTATCATCCATAGAATTCGAAGCATACACCACAGATATGCAATAAACTTCAGTAGTTCCCGAGAAGACAGAGCCATGTATCAACTGTCTGGAAGTAAAAAGCGGCTTGAAACTCACTTTTAGTGAATTCCATTTGATCCAAATTCTTCCAGGAGAAGCGTAAGCGAAGTTGTCATATGAGCCTTCATGTGGAAAAACAAAATGTGTGGAGGTAAACCAAGGGCTGTGGGGTAAGGGATTCGAAATTCTAGTTTCCAAAAGAAAAAGAAGATCAAGGTCAAAATTTGTAACTAAATTCTTGCAACATACAGCTTTGTCCGAGTTGTTAAACCCATGGGTATTCCAGGACGCCAAGAGAGGGGGTCTGGTCATTGGGACTTGGAGGTTGGGGTGGAGGCCTTCTTGACCAATTTTGCTCTTGTGGATTTGGTGGAGGTATTGTTTGTTGAGGATTGCACATTAGAGTACTGTTTATCAATGATGTTGCTGATACTCGCCATTTTGGGGGGATCATGAGGTTTCCCCAAAAGTTCACTATCTATGGATGAAGATGGTGGTTGGGCTGAAATCTTAATTACGGATGGTTCAGGCTGATTTTCTTGGTTGGAAAGGGCATTGAATTTATTGGTAGTGGGAATAGTAGGGGAAAAAATAGTGTCAGGTAGAGGAAGTGAGGGATTGGTGGGATTGGTGTGTGAAGGGGTAGGAGATGGAAGGGAGAAAATAAAGTCCTCAGAAGGTGAGTTTAGATTGGGTAAATGTGTTGTAATTGTAACAGCCGAAGGTAAAGGTTGGTCTGTTGGTAATGGGGTCAGAATTGGTGGTGGTTGTGGCTATGGCTGAGAGACGTTCAGTGCAGGGGGTTTTGGAATATTCAACTTGGGAGGGATTTTCCTCGGTTTACAGCTAGTGCTCCTGCCACGATTTTGAGATGGTTCAACTTGCTGCAGGATGGGGTTTTTGGGGCAGGAGTTAGGGGTGTGCATAATGGAGTTACGAAAAGAGCAGTGAGATGGATTCTAATCATAAAGCACGACCATGTGAAAATTTTTACCATCCACGGTATAGTAAATCTCATACGGCAATGGTGAGGAGCTACTTACCTGAACACACACTCTAGCAAAGGTAAGTCTCATTTTGCAGTAGTAAGAGCATCAACAGCCGGCAGGATTCCCACACAGCTCGCTATCTTGGAAATTCCCTCCATAGTCCAGCAAGACAACGAGAAGTTTTTGATCTTTATCCAGAGTGGAATAGAAGGGAACTCTTCCCGGATAGGGACAAACTCCGACGTCCATCTCTGTAGAATAAAAGGTTTTCCAAAGAAGAACCATGGTCCGCCCGACCTTGCCATGTCGTAATCCTCTCTATTGTTGAACTTGAGAAGGAAGAAGCCATCATCCAAGGTAAGCAGAGAGTGGGAACCTTTTAAGGACCAGGCTTTTTTGATCGTGGAGAGGAGGGCTTCGTAATATGGACGACGACCAATCGAATAGCCGACCAAAGAGAGAGCCCATTCCGGCGAGCTAGCGTTGAACTGAGCTGAGGTGAAGTGAGCTGTAGCGTTATCAGTCGGAAAGTGAGTGATCGAAGAGGTAAACTCATTCGACACTAGCGGATGAGTAGCAATAAGGCTCTTCCAGTCACGAGGTAGAAGAGTAGAAGAGGAGGGGATGTTGAGCGAGGGGTTGAGAGGGGGAAAAATGGAGGAGGACATCCTTGAGGAGATCCTCTCCAGGGCGGAGGCGGTGGCGGCAAACTGAACCAATAGAGTATGGCTCTCTTATTAATAAAAGATAAAGTCAAAATAATATTTCACCAGGTTTAGTATTATCACACCTTAGGTTTTACTTAGCTAAAACATAATGCTTAAGTCAAACATATATTCTTAAATTAGAAGATCAAGATTGAATTGAGATCAAATAAACTACTTATAATGTAAAGAAACTAAGCTTAAGTAAAATAAATAATCTTAAAAAGGAGTATTTTTTTTTTATTAAAATGGGGTAGAAATCAAATAAAGATGTTCAATGAAAGTTAAGGTGATCAAAATTAGATCAAATTATGCCATGGATAAAATTAATTCAATATAAAATAGGGATCAATTAAAACTAAGATGAACGAGTGAAGATCAAGTTAAATTAAGTAAGGTATGAGTCTTATCATGATCAAGTGAAGTTAAATGAAGTGTGTGGGAATCAAAAGATGCTTATGCCACTATAGTAAAGGGCTGACCTTAACTAAGAAATGCATTATATAAGACCACATGGATTAGTGGAAGATTAAATTTTTTTCCTAGAGATTTCTTCTAAAAGAAACATGGCTCCAATATGGTTTATTTTAATTGTAAGGGTTAAGATTTCCCAAAAGGGTATGCTCCTAATATTAATTAAGTCCTAGGTGTGTCAGAGAATACTCTTAATGAGGGAGTCAAATCAATGCTTGTATTCAAATTAGGATACAAGTGATAGATGTAAGTTTGATAAAGTGAAAACCATAATGAGTGGATGGTTATGAAGTGAAGATTAATCTACCAAGAGGGTAAGATACTCCTAGTTAAATCCCATGGTTTCATCATTATTAGTTCATCGATGCCCTTAGTCTCCTTAATTAAATGACAATCAGAGGATCTTTACTATTAACCTTGGGTTACCTCATCAAACAAAACCTCATAGACTAAGGGTGCATACCTAATCCTAATTGATAGATGGGAATTACACTTCATAACTTTATGATGGAGAAACTTAGACTGGACTTATAATATCACATATTGGTATATCCCAAGGCTGACAAGTGTACTTAGGATCTAGAGTTGTGGTTAGGAAATTTGGTATCATGTCCATGTGGCAAAGATGATACCCAAGATGGGGCTTATAACCCAATCATATGTGGTCAATAATGACCGAACATCCTCTCAATGTGGTAGAGAAGATGTGCTGGATATGAAAAATATGAACATCTCCTTAATGTGGTATGGGAAATGGGATATGTATGGAGATCTTCTCAATATAGTAAACAAGATGAGAAAGGAGTGGAATTTTGAATATCTTCTCAATGTGGTAGAAGAGAAACCCAACGAGTTGGACTTACAACTCAATCTATGCGATAAAAAAAAATAAGAAAATATATAACTTCAATTTAGTAGAAGAAATGTCAATATGGTACTTATAGGTTGGTCCTGAATAATTAAAAAAGCACAAACGTATTTGCAATGCTTTAAGTCTTGCACCTATGATTAAGAAATCCTAAATTTATTATCAATGAGGTAGATAAGACATCAACAATATGATGGAAATCTTGATTATCCCCTTAATTTGGTAGAGGATATATTAAGGAAGAAAATGATGTGGAATGGCGAAAAAATATCAGACTCACAACTTAATTTTGAGGTATCAGGCAAGCCGGGATATTTTCTCAATGGGGTTGAGAAGTTGTCAAAAGTGGGACTTACTCTTGATTGTGTGTGACCAAGAAAGCAAAAACTATCATCTCAATATGGTAGAGAAGATGCTAGCCTGGACTTAAGCTTGCTTAGGTTAGGAATGCAATTTAATTCACCTAGTCGAGTGTGAATGTGTAAAGTGTATCATTCATAAGGAAGAAGATATGTACACATCCTGGACTGACTTGATGAAGGAGGTGGCTATGGGTACGTGGAATATATGTCTAGGTTTTCTATCCTAGGGTGTCTCAGGCTATATGTAAACTCACAAAAGGGCACAACATGCTAGGTGTTAGGAAAGGCTATATGTTGACTAAGTAAATGTCGAAGTTAACTATCTACAACTAAGCTAATTTCTACAATAATAGTAATGAAGTTGTTTTAGCACAATAAATTCACCGCCAACTTTATAAAATGTTGCAGTCATCCCAAACAGGATCTTAAATTAGATGCTGGATTGTGTGAACATATACATGTCATTTGCTTGGAAGCTGCTAGCTTGGTAAAAGAAATTATGCTTTATTTTTTATTATTATGTCTTATTGTCATGAGAGAGAGACTTCAGTATAATAACATTAACATTCAATTAAAATATTTAAATAAATCCATTTTTTATATAAAAGTTAATTTTATTTTTAATCTTTAAATATCAAAATTTTGATATTTCAATAATAAAAGAAATTTATTATAATAATCATACAAAACATTTGATTATTAAAATAATAATTATTATAATTAATGTTTCATTCCTTACAAAATTCAAACTAAAAAAATTTGTAATTATATTTAATCAATTTCAACATTAATTGATTGATGAAAATTTGCTCTATATTATATGAATCATATTATTATTGAAATATGCTAAATTCACTTAAATTATATTTATTGATATTTTTCTTAATTGGATAAGTTTTTCTTTTTTTTTTGGGACATTTATTGGATAAGTTTTTCTTCCAGCAAGCTTTTTCCTCATGAAACTGCATTTAGCTGGACTCTGTGGAGAAGTCTCGGTGGAGAGTAAGGGAGCTGATACAAGGTAGGCTATGGGCTGAAATCCAGCTGCTGTTGGAGGAAAATTATGAGGGAATAATGGAAGTTTTTGCTTGCTGTGAGAATGGGAGGTTATTGTTAGTGGAATGCATTGCAAAGGAATTAACCGTAAAGAGTGGATTATAAGAAAAAGAGGAAATAAATGTGAATTATTCTTATTTCTTTATTTAGTTATGTTGTCTTGTAAATTATTTGGATATTGATCAGGTTGCGAAAGGAGTTTATACCAATTGTGTTGTTAGGATTGTTATTTGGTGGATGAACAAAAAAGAATCTGGTTGCGAGGTAAGTTGTTAAAGGAGATGAATGATTTTATTAAAACTATGGCAAATTAAATCATAGAAAATTTGGAATGTAAGAAATGTGAATCTTGTAGGTAATTTACAAACGAACAAGGATACGAGGTGCGGAATTCGAGGAGCCAACTCGGCAAGGGGGTAAGAAATGCAATGTAATCTAATTAAATGCATGTGTCATTTTCGAGTGGTATAATTGCATGTCATTAAAACTGAAGGGTAAAAAGTCAATGAGGTAACCTTTATCTGTTAATGTGTACAATCAAACAGTCAGGTATGAATGACCCCAGATAAATTTTTGTTTATCATGCATTATTATATGATCATATAAATGTTTTCCTAAATGTTGTTATTCACTATGTACATATTGTTTTCATGCAACAATATAGTCAATAGAATATTCATATGGAAGCATGACAAAATGAGTATAGGATCTTAAAGTAAAACTTAATGAATATTAAATATTAAATTAGGAAATGTTTGCTATGAAATGACATGACACATCTATGAAATTCGAGGCAAAAAGGGACCTCTATGAAATTCGAGACAAAAGGGACCTCTATGAAATTCGAGGCAAAAAGGGA